GCCCAATGCCGCTGCCAGAAAGAGCAAAGAAGGCAAAGAGCGAGAGGATGGGAAAGAGGCTGGGAGGCTTTTGGAGGGGCTCCTTCGGATCCCCCGCCAAGGAGATGCTCCACGGAGGCTCGCTGTGCTCCTCCCCAGATACCCGGAATGTGCAGATGTGCTCTCCAGGCTCGAGAAGCAGGTGGCTGGAGAGCAGCGGCTCATTGGACAGGCCTGCTTCTTCTCCTGCTGCCTAGACCTCTTGCTTTATGCTGGTAAGTGCTCCGAGAGGAGGGCCACAGACAGCCAGGAGGCTTGCAGAGATGGCTTTTCTCCTGCCACAACACTTGAGTAATCACAATCCCCAAGGAACCTCCAAAATGCTAGCAATTCCTTTCTTTGCTTAACTGTCTTTTGAGATTCCCCCCTTGTGAAAGCTCAGGCTTTCTCCTGCCCTGAATGCCTGAGGAAAAGAAGGCAGTGGGGGGAGCACCGCTTCTGAGATACGTTTGTATTACACAGGCTGGGAGTACAAGTCTTTTGAGGACTGCAGGAAATTTGTGGAGTGCAATGAAGACAACCGCATCCTCAAGTGCCAGAAGAGCATCCTGCTGGGGCTGTATTCATCCCTGGCTCTTTGGTACGTTACAGACTTGCTTGGACCGCACTGGCGAGAGGCCCCAGGCAGTGATTGTGGCAGGAGAGGTGGGAGCTGCGGGTTCCTCATGTCCCCTGTCCCGTGTCTAACCAGGTGGCCATCCCTGCAGGGGTGCTTTTATGAAAGGGGCTGGTGGGGAGAGGCTGTGCACTGGGAACAAGGTGGCCAGGAGCCTAGGACTCGTTAGCCTAGAAGACAGCCCAATTCCTGGCCATCTCTACACAATGTGTGCCTGTTTCTCTTGGGATGATGTAGGTTTGTGAGGCTTGGCCTGTGGGACAAGTTCCAGAAGCCCTTTGAAAAGGCCAAGAGGCTGCTGAAGAGAGCAGACGGCTCCATATTTGCCACCCAAGCATGCACGCGGATGCTGGAATGCTACATCCTGGGGCTGAAGAATGAGCTGGAGCACCGCTCGGCGAGGGCCCGGGAGAGCCGCATGCAGGCCCTGAGGGTGAGGGGAGAGGAGGAAGGGCATGTGCTGTGCAGGGACTCCAAGGAAAGCTGCCGTGGCTTGACAAGGCCAGGTGGAAGCAGCTGTGATGGGATGGAGTGAGGACAGAGTGCAGTGGGTTAGAGAGGACCATGGCAAAAACCTCCTCTTGCCAAGAGTGTCAGCAAGAGGTGGAAGAGAAGGCAGTCGGGCCAAGGAGTTTCCTGGGCCTCTTCTTCCTCTCTCTTCTCCTGATGGGCCTCTGCCTTGCTCTCTCGGTAGCTTGCAGAAGAGGCTCTCTCTCGGTGCTCTACAAGCCCCGTCTTCTACGCCAGAGTCCAGCACCTGACCGCCTACCTCTTCTGCATGCTGGGTAACAAAAGGCAGAGCCTGTTGTGCCTCAGTGAGGCCCTTCGAGCCTGTGAGGGGAATGGAAACCTCCTGGAGAAGAGCTGGCTGGAGATGAGCACTGTAAGTGGCTGCTCCTTGCCTCTGAGATGCTTCCTGGGCAGAGGAGCAGCGTGCCCTGGGAGAAGGTAGCCCAGGGTGTACTGCAGCAGGTCCGTGCGGGAAAGGCTCCCAGAGCGCCTCAAGAGCCTTGTCCTCCCCAGCATCTCTGCAGGGCTGAGGAGTGCTCAAGCTGAACCTTTGCCTCTCCCTTAAGCCAGCTGTGGGAGCCCAGCAGTCTCCATTTGCTTGCCCTCTCCTTGCCCTCCCTGAGGGGCTTTTGCAGTGTGGCAAGTGGGCTGAGGGAGGGAAGGAGCTCCCGCAAGAGGCTTTGCCTCCCGTGCCAGACAGCGATGAGGGCTCTGGGGCTCTGCTGTTCTTCTCTTGTTTGTCTTAGGAATTGTGGTGCACGGAGAAGGGCCCTGTGGAAGATCTGTGGCTGAGGACAGCGCCACATTTTCCGCAGCTGATGGAAGCAGAGCCAGAAGGCGGCAGCTGCAGGTATCTGCTGAAGCTGCCAGCACTCCAGCGTGAGGATGCTCTATGAAGAATAATTAAATCACGCTGATGTCTCTTTGGTCTGTGGCTCCATGCAGGACCCTGAAAGAGGATCCTGTAGGCATGCAAGGAGCGTCTGAGGCCTGTGATTTATGGAGAAAGCTAGGCTGTGGAAAAACCATCCCTGAAACCTGGAGTGTTTGAGAGAGTTGAGAGCTGTAAAGCAGTTCAAAAAATGGTCTCCCCCGACACTACCTCTGTCCAAATCAGCAGTGGGGAAGAAGCCACCCATAAAGTGGATGGGCTCTGAGGGCTGCCTGTGTCCTGATCCAGTGTCAAGGGAGGTTTTGATATGATCCCAAGAGTGAGATTAAGATACAAACGAGGTCAAATGCCATACAACCGTGTAAGCTTTATTCTCATAAGCAGCATAGGACAGAGGGAATAAGAAGGGAAAAAGCAAGGAAGATCAGCAAGCAAGCGGAGATATGCAGCAGGATTATAGTTACCACCACCAGTCCAGCTAAGTGTCATGGGCTCTGCTTCGGTGCAGGCACAGGTGCCTCGGTGCAGGCGATGTTCCGCACACACCTCGGTGCTGGTGATGTCCTGGGAAAGAAGCCGTGTGCCCTGGAAGAAGCTGCACACACCTGGGAAGAAGCTGCCGTGTGCCCCAGGGCGGGGATGTGCAGTCCTTTCATGTCCCTGCTCTTGAAGAGTCCGCTCCCTTTTGTGCGTGCTCTGGTGCTCCTCTTCCCCCAACTCGAGTGCCAGCGCTGCTCCATAGACACCGCTGGGCATTGTCTGGGCCTTGTGCTAATCTCACAGTCCTCCCAGAGGCAGGGGGCCAAGGTCAAGAAGCAGATAATTGCAGGGAGATGGAACACCTGGTGCTGACATCACAGTCCTCCCAGAGCTAAGGCCAAGGAGTCATAAATTGTATGGAGATAAGACCCCTCGAGCTGATAGATGGGACGCCTAGGTCAAGAAGTCCTAAATGATACGGCAACAACGTTGAGACAAAACACAATTCAAAACAGTCTCTGATGGCCTGCACAAGTGGAACTTGTCTCTTGATGCTGATGTAGCAGATTTGCGTGCATTATCATGCCTCCTCATGTAAGGGCACCATATATGTCCCAGTAGCCTGAAAACATGGGATCTTGCACTCAGCTTGAGACTACTGTCTGGAAGGGTTGAGTTCATGGTGGCACCCTGGAGAGGTGGCTTTTTCAGACTTTCTTTTGGGCAGGAAGTCTGTAATGAAACTCCCAAGCAGGGAAAGGCTGCTCCAAGAAGAAACTGGGAAGGCTTCAGAGTATGGGCACACTCCTATGTGCCATACTCCACATGGCTTTCAATCTGTGAAGACAAGAAGCAGCTGGGTTTGTATGCTCAAGAGAATGACCAAGAAGGAAGGAAAAGTGCGCAAATCTGGCTTTTGTCAGGTAGCAAAGGCAGTATGTTCAGGCAGAGCCCACGGTTGTCACCGAGCCCCAGAAACCTAAGGTTGGGCAGGTCAGAAACAGTGCTGGTGTCCAGGAATAGTAAGCCAGTCTGGCTCATGTCCAGATGCCCCAGCCAAGGGGTTACTGGCAAAGGCATCCTTCTCCATCTCCACAAGGCTGGACTGACCCACATCTTCAGCATCACCAGGCTGATGAGCTGTGAGAAGGTGCTGACGGTGACCGGCATTGAAGGTTGTTGAAGCTGTGGTCCAGGTAGGCAAGCTTGGACATGCTAATGAAAGTGAAATCCAGGTCATCTCCCAAGCAGTTCTTCTGGCAGTCCAGATAGGCCAGGTCAGTTAGGAAGCTCAATTCCCATACAAATGATGGGAGAGGTCTCTCAACCACAAAGAGTCTCCTTAGGCCATGTCCCAGCCTGAGGGGGAGAAAGATGAGTTCAGCCCTTTGACCGATCCCAGAAGTTACAATGGAGTCTTCCCCCAACTTCCCCCCTCCTTAGTTCACCTGTTATGGTTTTTTACATTTAGGTGGAGCTTGAATTACTCTGTTCATGCATGTTTTTGTTATTGGGTAGTGTAAAAGTTTCTTGCTTTTCATTTAGAGGTATTGTCAATAGAAAATCTAGACAGCATGCTCAGTGAGGAGTGGTTGTACCTTGGAGGCAGGTAAATTTTCAGATGTAGGGGTGTGTGGCATTATAATGAGGTGTGACGAGGTTATATTCCTCTGCCCAGTAAGCATCTCAAAGGCAGCATTTACTTAAAGTGCTCTGGAAGCTCTTCTGGGCTTTTCCCTCCCTTCTGCCTTTGCTGCCTTGAGAGCTCTCCTGAGAGCTCTCCTCATTCACCTTGAGAGCTTTGGCTCTCTTCTGATTGGAAGCCAGGCCAGGACAATCCCTCTAACTCTGCCCCCAACTTGCAACATTCACTGGGGCACCATGACTCCATCTGCCCCAGCAACAGCTTCCATGAGGGTGGGAGATCCCCAGACTCTACCTCCTCACAGTCCTCAGTGGTTGTGGGACGGAGGGCGTTGGGAAGAGCAGAGCTCCTACTTCAGCGATGTGAGGCCGATAAAGCAGAGTGCGTCCCGCTGTGGTGCAGGGGACTACAGTGGCACCCACACTGGTACCCTACCATTGATAAATATGGAGATCTTGGATGATCCATGTGTTTATGCAAGCTGGTTAGGAGCACGGTTGGCACTGCAATACAGTCTTGGTCAGCAGAGAGCTGAGCTGAGTCAGTTCAGCATAAAGAGACTGAGCTGACCCCTGCCTGGGCCTCCCAGCCTTGGGGCTGAGACAACAGAAAGCCAGAGTACGGGAATGCTTTCGGCCTGCCTACCTGTTGTGCCCCCTGCTCTTAGGAGGCTAGGAATGATGCCACTGGAATGGAGAAGGCTGGTTGGTGTCTGCAGGAGAAAGCTCAAGCACAGATGGCAAATTTTGGCACAGAAAAAGCATTCAGAGAGCAAGCCAAGACTAAGAGGAGTGATGCAAGGGCTGGAGCTCCTCAGGGCTAGTCAAGTTTCAATAAATGCCCTTTTATTCTGCAACTTGCTAGTGTTGACCAAAAGCTGTTGCCATTGAGTAGTAAATGACTCCATAGCATAGGCTTTTAGGTGCCTCCTGGTCAGGCACATCCACTGCTCCTCTGCCTGCTTCCCCAGGAGCCAGAGCAAAGTGAGCCTGAAAAGAGGGGAATCTCAAAACACTAGCTAGCTAGCAAAACACTAGCTAGCTGTGCACACCATGTTCCTTTGGGGTGTGTTTTCAAAGGTTTGAGGTTTTTATCCCACCTGCTGCTGAGCATGAAGCTCATGAAAAACTTTTGGTCAGGCCTGTTCCTCTTGGAAAACATGAGTAGCTGGGACTCCGTTCCTGATCACTTCCTGCTAAATCTTCAGTTGTTGCCTTGGGCCGGGGTTTGGCTCCCCTTTGGATGATGTTTTGAACATGAACAGTACTTCACCCTGGCAGTATCTGCTCCAAGGCCCTGCTGCTCCAAGTTGTTGCTTGTGATCAAAGCCCAGGGAGGCCGTTGGCAGAACCAGAGACTTGTTTCACTCGTTTTGTGTGGTCAAGCAGTCTGTTAGCCAATAGTTCTTCCTCATGTCTCTACCTGCTTTGGCCTCTGGTGCTCAAGTCTTTATGCAGTCTGCTGAGGCTATCAGTCTTGTGAATGCTAAAGGATGGAAGATGGAGGGAAGATGTGTAATTTTTGGAAGCATTAAGTACAAATGGTCTCCCTTTTTTCTAGAGGCATCAGCTAGAGAGAGGCTGGGTGTCCTTGTGCTGCAGGGCTGCCCTTCTCAGCTCTGAGGCTCTGGTGCGGTTGCATCTCCTGTTGGTAGAGGTGCTGGGTGAGAGGCTGTGGATGAGGATCCTGGCCCTGAGCACATCTGCAGAACCAGAGACATGCTGTGGGCAGCTTAGAAAGGAGCTGGCATGTTGGGTAGCAGTCAGGATGCAATGGCGCGGGAGAGGAGCATCCTTGAGGAAGCCGGTGGCATCATGATGATTGACACGGTGCAGTGGAGCAGTCCTGCCCCCAGCCCTTTGGATGTCAACAGCCCTGACTTCAGGTGCTGCTCTGCACAGCTCAACCCCTTTCTTGCTGCAGCAGTGGCAGCCTCCTGGAGGGAGAGAGCTGGTGTGGGTTCCCAGACCTCCTCTTGCGCAGCTTTGCCCCACTGCTGAACTCGCTCTGCAGAAGCTGCTACAGCCTGTGCTCAGCCCTTCCATCTAAGGATGGAAAATAGGCCTTGTGGAAGGAGGCCCTCCACTTCTGAAGAAAGGGACTGTATTTTCAAGCCAGAGCTCTGCCTGGGCTTGCAAAATGGGCTCTGTCTTGCGGGTTAGGTGCAAGGCTGTTGAGGCCTTTTGCAGCGATGCAGAGAGAGCAAGTCCAGCTCCCTCTTCCCATCCCATGAGAGCTTTGTTTCTCTGCAGCCTCACAAACTTCCTCCTTTCCTCTTCTCCTCATGGATATCTTCAGCTGAGGCAGGACTTGGCCATTTGCCTTGGGGCAGCTATTCTGTGTTTGCCAGGGTTTATCCATTCATGGGCCTAGGATGGAGGGTAGAGGGAACTGAAGCTGAGGCCTCCTGCGCATGTTGGTGGGCCCATGTCTCCTGGCCCTCCCCAGGCCCTGGCATCTGCCTGTGGGAGCTCTTACGCACAGGGCAGAGAGAACAGGGCTCTTCCTGTGCACCCAGGCATGCCAGGGTAAGTGACCTTGGCTTTCTCAGTAAACTGGAGTGATCGCACCTCTGCCCTATGTCCATCTAAGTTAGGGTCTGAGGGTTTGGGGGGTCTGGAGGTGCTGTATTCTGAGGACAGCTACTCCTGCCCCTTTCTGTAGCAGGCCTGTCAGGGCCCAGCTTGTTCCAGCCATCGTTGCTAGCACAGGCCTTCGGCTGGCTATAAGCAGCACCACCCCTAGGCATCCCTCAAAAGCAGGAGTTCCAACACTTGTGTTGCCAGAGCTCCCAGGGTTTCAGTCAGCAGGCAGTCATCTGGAATTGAGACTTGTCAATGGCTTGCTTTCTCTGCGTCCCATGAAATTAGCCTCACTTGGTGTTTATCTATTCAATTTCCCTAAGCTTATTGGTAAAAGTGCCACAGAGATGATTGATTTACAAGATTTTGGTTTATATGTGTATATATATATATTGTTAGGAAGGCCTAATGTTGCTTGTATTTGAGTACATAACTATCTCTAGGCTGCAAAGATTCAACACAGTTGAAGTTCTTACAAACATACACTTCTTTTTCTAATAGTGTGGGGCCCCTGAAGTTCACCTTCCACTGGAATGTTTTGAAGTTTACCTTAAAATACTAAAACAGAGACGTGTAAGTATAGAACCATAAAACATAGATAAATAGAAGACTATAGTAGCTATATCGAGAAGATTTTGTAGAGAGCACAAAACTCTAATCCTGGCAAAATCCAGCTGTTTCAATGCTATTTTGAAGCGTCTAATTCATAGAATCTTTATGCTATCAGAAAGACTGCCACAAGATGGCACCACAGTATTTTAGATAATGACTTTACCATATCAAAACTTTTTTTTTCCCCTTAATATAACTGTAAAATTAAATGGCTGTGGATATAAGAAATGACCTTATTTTGAGACTATATTTGTAAGAAATAACCTTCAATCCTGCAGAAGTGCTACTTGTGTTGAATTGCTCCTTTAAATGCAGTAGCAGTTTGTTCTATTCATCACTCAGCAGCTCGTGTAGCCAACCTTCCCATTGCCTCGAAAGGGCACTGGCAATTGTGGTGGGCTTTTCTGCCATAACTGGTCAAGTTCATGATAATTTGGGGGTTGAAAGCTAAGCAGTTGAATTAATTGCCCAGATAAAAATTGCTGTCTGTCTGTCTTAATTCTTCACCTCACTTTACTCATGCAATTCCTCTTGGCAATATTTTGCCATCCTTTGCTAAGGATGGCCACGCTTGTATCGGACAAAATGTTCTCTTGAAAATAGGTGGCTCAGGGCACTATTCTATACTGCCATCATAGAATATAATATGTTTCTGATAAGTTAATATGCACTTTTTTGTTCACTGACAGAGTACATAGAAGTCTACAAAGAGGAAACCCAAACACTGTTGCTATATGGCATTAGCCACCAGCCTTGTGTTTTGTGTTCACTGTAGTGTCAGGTTGGGGATTGGGCTTTAATGTCTCTCCAGAAGTCAGTTTCTGAAGCCCTGGTTCATTTTCCTAGATTTCCTGCCTGCTCGCTTGTATTTTCCTTTTAAATGAGATAGTAATTTGTAAAGTCTTTGGAGGGTCCTTTGCTCTGTGAAATGCTGTCTGCATGTCCAGTTCTGTAGTTATTTCTCACTGGCAAGTGATGGCATGTTGTCTCCCTACCTTAAGATACAGCTGAACATATCTAGAAGGTTTGGTTAGTGAGGTAGCATTGCTCTGGATAGCTATGAAATATGAGCATTAGCATCATATATCTGTGTACTGAAAGAACCAGCACTTTTATTTTGAAGAAAGCATAAAACAAAAAAAACCCTACCAGACCAATATTTAATTATTGAATCACATTGTATTGGATAAAGTTGTCCTGTGTTCCCAACACTTGTGTTGCCAGAACTCCCAGGATTTCAATCAGCAGGCACTAATCTGGAATTGAGACTTGTCAGTGGCTTTCCAGGGCTGCCAAAAGAGTAGATGGGCAAGTCATCAGGAACTGGGCAAATTTCCAGTAAAAACCTGCTCTTGTATGGGCTCTCCAGAACCATTTTTCGACATCTGCCTCTGTAGTCTTTGTTTTTCCAAGTCTGTCTTTGACATATTGTCCTTGCTGCTTAGAATGGCTTTGGGTCTAGGTCTGTAAGATAAAACATCTAGAAAGAGGTTGTAAAGCTCTTGTGCTGTAAACCCGGGGAATGGTGTTGAGTATATAATGTTAACAAGGTTTTCCTTTTTAGAGCTGATTTTGTTTTTCTCTGAAGGGGCAACTTCAGGTTTATTTCCAAATACTGTAAGTCTGTCAACGAAAGTAGCTGGTGCCACTGAAATTATGTGTATGTCATTGGGAATTGGAAAATCATGTGCAGAAAATGCAAGCCTGAAATTGCTTCTGATGTGGCTACCCCATAGCTACCCCGAAAGGGACCTCTACCAGAATGAAGCCAGTGCCACATTTGGTTGCTCCTTGATTCATTGTTGCAGAGATATATCTGTTCCTGGTTTAATATATTTGTAAGGTGTCTTTAATGTAAATAAGTACATGTCACTGATCTCTCAAAGTACAGCTATGGGCAGTGGATTATCACTTTTTGTATTACAATATTATTTATTATATCATTTTATATATATATAGTGTATGCTACAATGACATTCCTTTACATGTACCACTGTTTTATTTCCTGGGGGAAAAAGGGGGAGGAAAA